ACAATGTGCTACATTCATAGATCTGCCCAAATTTTACAATGCAAGTTCATTAGCAACCACTTGCTTTGTTCTGGTCTGTTAGCTTTCACTTTCGAGCTCATACAACCCAATTTTCACTAATAGGGGTTTCTTTTAGATTTGAAAAAAACTGGTACTTTTTCTTCTGCGACTGATTTGCAGTGTCTTAATAGGAAGTTTCTACAGTTGTGTATGCTGAGTTGGATACAAATGTATTGTGCTATTGAACACGTGATTAGGCGTCTTTTCCTGCAGCCTTCCATGGAAATCCAGCTTTCCATAGAAAGTGATGGCTCTACTTACTTCCAATGAATATCAGGCAGCTATAGTTTCACCAAGTCTTGACAAAATAACCTCCAGGGCTTTTTGGTAAATAATTTTCCTCTCACACATTTGATCCCAAGCATTATTTATAACTCTCTATTAACAGAATTCAACAAACTGTTTGCTCTAATAGGGGCTAAGGCCAATGCCATGTAACGAGATCTCATTTACAATTTGTATTTATAGTTATGTTTGGGTATGCTGAACAGTTCATACAAATTCACAGTAGACTTTCAAAGTTTAAAAATGGTAGAGATTCATAAACTGCTTTCAATGAATAAATAATCCCTGACCTTGACCAAACCCGGCATAAAATGCCCTCAGATGCACTTTATCTCACCCTCTAGTGCAGGGGTCCTTAAACTAAGGCCCAATGGCCAGATATGGCCCTCCAAGGTCATTTACCCAGCCCTCACTCAGGATTAACCTAAGTCTGAAACAACTTGAAAGCACACCACAACAATCCTATCTCGTCAGCCAAAAGCAGGCCCACACTTTCCATTGAAATGCTAAGTTTATATTTGTTAAAATTGTTCTTCATTTTAATTATTGATTTGTTTTAAAGGGGGGGGGGTTGCACAAATAAGATATGTGCAGTGTGCATAGGAATTCATTCATTGGTTTGTTTGTTTTCGAATTATAAACTGGCCCTCCAACAGTTTGAGAGACTGTGATCTGGCCCTCTGTTTAAAACGACTGAGGACCCCTGCAATTAAACCCTTGTTTTGTCCCACCTGAACCTCACACATTACTTATATCACCTAGAGTTTTTTAAACATTTTAATTTTTGCAATTGGCCTTGCCCATCATGATCAATTATTGTGGTTTTATATTGTATTGTGTGCCTATTTTGTACTTTTTAATTATTTTCATTATTTTTTATTGATGTATTGTTTTATGTTGTATATTTGCTTTGTTGTGATTGTTGGGCTTGGCCTCATGTAAGCCGCCCCAAATCCCCTTGGAGAGATGGTGGTGGTGTATGTATAAATAAATAAATAAATAAATAAATAAATAAATATTAGCCAAAGTTAGAATGCACTGATGTCAACCATTAATAAATTCAGCAAGAGAAAAATCACCTTTATCATGGCTTTCCTTAATTTACTGTGTGATAAGATAACCTAAATACCCTAAATATTTAGTTAAGTGTTGTTTGGATGTGTACAAGCATTCTACAAGTACCAGATTCTGTTTAATCCCCCAATGAATCTCTGGTGCGGTAGACTTTCTTTCAGATGATGGAACTGACAAAATCATCACTAAGGATTTCTTGCTTAAGAAGCCCCTATGAAATTGCCGTAAGTTTACCAGTGAGACTTGAAGGTACATATTCAAACACATTGAGGTATTAAATTCATTCTTTTGGTTTCTTCAATTCTCTCCTCAGAATACACCAATCTTATTGGTATCACATCAATAACATTATCTGCCATAGCAATTTCTGTAATCAGTCTATTAGTAAAACTGCACGTTTCAACTGATTTTATATACATGCTATTATGTACATAGGTATGTGTGCATTTGTTCTAGCATTAAGACAGTGACATTTGCTTGAAGGGTTGTTCTTCATGTTCTTCATGTTGTTATCTATTATCCACAGGTAAATGCATTGTGTTTTCTTATTTTCTTTGATGATCTTCAAAATACCGTACAACTCATAAGAGAACTGGAAATACCAGATTGCAGGACAATTTGTCACAATATACTGCATTCCAAAATCCTCACTTTTATTGTTCTCTGTTTCTATTACTTACAATTGGCAGTGCAGCAGGTGACAGGAAGGACACACAAATGACCATGGACTTTAGCAAGGTGCTCTAAAACCACAAGTAAAGTAGAGCCTGGTCTGGATGTTTGGAGGCAGATGAGCAGAATTACTACAAGTATATGGTAGGACACAATAAATCCTAACCACAGTGCCAAATCACAGGGAAGTTCTGTGGACAGCTCAAGATGTCCATCTTTCAGGGCTTAAAATCATGGAATTGGAAGAAGCCACAAGGACCATTCAAGCCCAATCCCATCATGAAGGAAAATATAATCAAAGCACTCTCAACAGATAAACATCCAGTTTCTGCATAAAGGCTTCCAGAGAAGGAGACTCCTCCATGCTCCGAGGCAGCATATTCCACTGCCAAACAGCTCTTATCATCAGGAAGTTCTTCCTATCGTTTAGGTGGAATCTCTTTTCCTGCAATTTAAATCCACTACTCTGTGTCCTTGTCTCTAGAGCAGCAGCTTAAGTTTCTAGAAGTTGCATATCTGGCACATGCTTCCAACAAGCTACTGCCATCATGCAATTGTTGACTTACAAACTGCCCCTCCCCGACATCTGACTCCCTACGGTGAATCGTGAATATGATCTTTATCTTGCTGTACTGTTTAATCCCTGATCCCGTATCAATTTCTGAGCCTAGAAAAGAACACTATTGTGCAGACCTGGAAGGGGAAATGGGAGTAAAACAGCCAAGCTGAGCATGCAATTTGCAAACTTTGAGGTTGCAAGGGCTAAATCTTCCAGAGTCAAATATTAGGAAAATCGTAATGATTAATGTGATTAACAGCATGCCTTAAGGAAAGATTTACAGTGCAATCCTATAGATATCTTCTTAGAACCAAGCCACATTGTGCTAAACCCAAAATGATGTAAGAAACTTACATGCATACATCAGGAATTCCCCTTCTCCTGCAGTTCTCCAGAGGATCCAGAACCTAAAGATCTTTCAGATCTTTCTTTAGATCTCATACTAGAACCTTACTAAAGCCCATGGTCATTTGTGTGTTCTTCCTGTCACCTGTTCCATTATCAGTTGCTCTTAATAATGAGAATAATATAAATAGGGAGTTTGAAATATGGCATATTCCATATACATTACTTGAGGTGTGAGGGAACTTCAACTGATCCATGTTTCTGTTCTGCTGAGGGGAAGGACATTGTTATAAACAACCCACTGGCTTATATGAAACTTATTCACACTAAGTATACTAGAACTGCAGGTTTCACTCAATTGTTAGAAATTCTGGAAGGACAGTGTTTCAGGGAAGTGAATTTCTATGCTTGTCAAGAATGTTCAAAACAAAACCAACCTGCTGAGTCAGTTATCAAATGCACCAACAACATTGTTGATATATGGTGAAAGGTCTAAAGCTCTGTCTTGTTAAAACAAGAGAGATGGCCTATACATCTCTATAAATTCAAGTGTAGTATTGTGCAGCAAGAAATCAACACTCCTACACATACAAGAAGAGGCTACTATTCTAGCTGTGTTATATCCACACTATTGCCTGCATCATACATAGGCTTTATTTTTTTAAACACAGTTGAGATGATCTGTATAAGGAAATACTTTCAATTCACCAGAATGTATACATGTACCAAGTAGCCAGAAATTTCAACTAGTATGTTTCCCTATAGGAAGTTTCCTGGTTTATTTGCAAGGTGCAACTTAAATATTCAAGTGAATGAGTAAATGTTACCTTTGGAAAAGGATAGCGATTGCTTACCTCTGAATTCGTTTCACTAGTTTTTTCATCCTTCTCTTCCCCTTTCTGTTTTCAGAAATTACATGACAATGGCCCTTACAAAAACTACAGTGATTCAGGCCCAACTCTATCATAAATATAGAATCATAGAGCTGGAAGAGACAGCATGGACCATCTAGTTCAACTACCTGCCATGTAGGAAAAGCACAAAGTACACCTGACAGATGGCCATTCAGCCTGTTTAAAAGCCTCCAAAGAAGCAACTTCCACCTCATTGCAAAGCAGTCATAGACATAGAACAAAAATAAGCCCCTTTCTTAAATCAGTTTTGGATCATTGAATCTATCTTCACTTGCAACTGTTCCAGGCAAAATTCATTACAGAAAAATAGCTGTAAGTAGAAGATACTAAATATGAATATTTAATGAATATAGAACAGCTTACAGCAGCACATGGTAGAAGTCACAGTAAATGAGCCACTTAAACAATATGTACTTTAACAGATAATCTAATTTACAATTTCAGTAAAGATTAAGGTACAGAGTACAATGTACATATTAAATCATGGCCATGTGTGACAGCTAGTTTCTTCTCATAAACGTGAATTGATTTTAATATATCAACTTGGGCAGGATATTCAATGCATGCAGTGAATTCTAAAACTATTAAAAGTTACTGTGTCAGGTTCTGAAAGGTGAAGTTAATGGATGAGTGTTGGATTCCCAGTGTAACTATTCTGATGTTCCAACATGAGTATCATTGCTCTACCACTCAAAATTCAAGACACTGCATGTGACTTCAGAATCTCACATGCAAGTTTCTAAAGGCTAAACTGTACTAGGCATTTTCTTCACCAACGTATTACTCATACAAAAACATCAGTGATATTTCTATCAAGAAGTCAAAAATAGTCTGTTCTAGCCTTGCCAAAAGCAGTTCTGGATTCACTTTCCATGTTTCTGTTCCTTCAAAAGATACTTCCTTTATACTTTGCTATACGAAACCAACTGAAAAACAAAGTGATTTGAAAACTAAGTTTATGCAAGAGCCATAGGCACATTCTTACCAATTTTCAATCATCTCTTTTTAGAAAACCCTCATTGTATTCCAGTATTGTCATCTCATTTTGTTTTTTTGACTGGGAGAAAAATCATTACACAAGGAAGCAAGGATTCAAGACATCAAAAGTTTTATGAGCAGGTCTAGTTTAGTGATTATCAGATGGAAAAAGGCCAAGTTTCTGTGTCATATAGGTTGCTAAAGCAACTGAGTATTTTAGGCATATCGGACTTCCATTAGTTAGAAGTGTAGCAGCAGTTCACAGCACTTCAACTACATTTTGGGACCTAAAATGTTATAGACCAGTACTTGCCAGAAAAATACTCAAAAATGTATGTAAACTTCAGAGCAAGCAAAAAACAGTTACTAACTAGCAAGGAGAAAAGTGTATAGTAGTTAATCAAACTTGTTATCTCTTCACCAACTGTTATTCACTTCACAATCACTGAAAAGACTAACATACATATTTTTGCATCTGACTTGTAAAAGCAGATAAAATATTTAATATGTATTTTTACAATTTATTTTACCAGCATGGAATACAGGATGAATATATCAAAGTAGTCAGACAGTTATAGTTTGATGCCATCCCTGCAAAAATAGTATCCAGGTATCTGCTAATTAAAAAGAAATCAATTTGCGATTTTGAAGTGATACAGTTCAATCTACCACAAAATACAAAGGGCTGCAAAAATGTCTCATTCCAATAGTGTATATAAGTTATTAAATAATGATCTTATTTAAAATATAAATGAAGCCATAAGTCTTTCCCACATGCAATATTATTCATTATTAAAGAAACATGTAAAAAGGCCATTGGTTTGCTTTGTTAACCACTGTAGAAAATGCCAATTCTCTGGTCACATACTTCACTAGTTTAGCACTTAATGGTACTGAATTGTTACAAATGATTTTAAATACTGTTAATTCCAATTCTCCACTGATAAAGAATGAGACTTGAATATGGCAGTCTTCACTAAGGGGCCAAAATGCACAGTCTTATGCAGTTATCCAGATGAACAACAACCTCCGCTGCCCTGAGCTGCCGGCTCATCATCAATTATCTGTACTCCACGCCTTGCAGCTCCTGACTGACTGGAACCATTGCCTCGTGCTCTCTCATCAACTTGTGCGGTTTCAATCATTCCTAAAATTTAAGAATATTACATTAGGTTTGGTTTAAACATGTTCAGGCATAAGAGCAACACAAAGTCACAGGTCAAATACAGATCATTCAGAGATTGAAAAAGATTTTCCAAAATATATTCTAATGCTTTTTACTTAAAAGTAATCAGCAAAGTATTTTAAAGTTAGGTTCTTGTGGGTTTTTTCGGGCTATAGAGCCATGTTCTAGAGGCATTTCTCCTGACGTTTCG